CCACAATAAAACAGACAGACAAATTTCTGGAGCTGCAGGGCCCTTTTAGGATGGTCCCATCATGCCCTGGGTGTCAATGAACTTCAGAGTGCCATTAACGAAGTATTTGCTATCCTTCTAGTCATTTTATCTTTATTAATTTGGACCTCTCATGTTTGGTTGTCAAATACCCAGGAAAATTTTAGCAGTCTGACAGAGGAAGTAATCATTTTTTTAGTTTTAACTTTTGTGTAACTTTTTTTTCTTATTTTACATCTCAATCCCAGTTCCCTCTCTTTCCCTCCCTTTCTCCCTCCCATGCTTTTCAATTAAACAATTGCATTTTTAAAAATAGGTCTTTATGGGGATTCCAGCTTTCAGTATTTAAAAGCTTGACAAACTTAGAAGAAAATATAATTACTTTGATAAATCATAAACTCAGCATTTTAAAGCCAGTTCTTGAAATATAAGTAAGAGAAGATATATCATATGAGCATCTGTGTCAGTGAAATAACATGTACACGTTTACACACACACATGTGCACATTCACATGTATATGTACACATATCTGCATGTACACACACTTGAATTTATATGTACTAATTAATTACTAATTAAATAAGTAAATAAATTGTAAATAAATCTTCAAAGCACCTTGGTTTTAAACTGAGAACTTGTGTCTGATTTTCGATAAGTATTCTTAATTTTGATGTTAGGAACTTAAACAAATTTAAACACTTCATTTTTTCTTCTTTGATATCATAAGACATAATATTATTACCAACAAATTTGCTAACCAATTTTAACACAGAGTAACAAACTAAGATATATGTTCAAGGCTGCTATTAGCTATTTGTTTTGCTATTGGTTTCAGTCAGACTTTATTGATGGTAAGTTTTGTTTTGTTTTGTTTTGCTTTAAGACTTTTCTGCATATATTTTTCTGTCACAGAGTATGATAATTACAGAATGTTACATACTAGCAAGAGATGGCTATAATATAAAGGGTTTAGTTATTTTGTATGAGAAATAGAGAGAAAGTATATGAGGAACCAAATTTGTATTTGTTAATAACCCTCCAGTGGTTGTTGGCATCTGTTCCTCTGAAGAATTGGTGGGCATTTTTTTCCAGGAGGTTCAATGGAAGAGAAATGAGGAGAGGAAGAGTGAGTGAAAAGGAGAGACAGGGGGAGGATGAGAGGGGATAGAATATGGGGGTCTTCTGATGGCAGGCTGGATCCAGAAATTTGTAAATATTGTCACAAGCCAAAGTCAGGCCAAGCTGTACAATGGAGACCTGACTTAGAATACCATGGAGGAGCTAGTGTTATTGCTTCAAGAGTTGGGAGTTGAATAAAGGTAAGTTGCTGAAAAAAAAAAATAACAAAACAAAAATAAAAGAAGCAAAAAACAATAAAGAAACAAATGAACCTACTTCTTTTGGGGGGTTAGATGTATACTCTAAAGAATACATTCCAGAAGCAATTGAGGGTGCCAGACACAGCGTGGGTCTGCAGAGATGTGTCATCCACCCAATATGGTAGAGCTCAGGTTTGGCCTACATGGGCCAAACTTAAGAACAGACGAGTTCTGGCCCATAAAAGTGAGACCTGCTTTCCCTCTAGAGACACCTTGATTGCTGATCCAGAACATCCGGTATGTAGTTAAGTTGGTCTCTAGGAAGATTCAGGCTGAAACTTGGCCACAAACACATTCCTCTGTCATGGGGGGAAGGACTTACTGTCATAAGAGCAAAACCCTGACCAATTAGAAGTTTCTCATATCTAGAAGTCTAACTTCATGAATGCCAGACACATACACTTCCCTCCCACTCTGCGGGGCCATGGTGTTAAGTGCCCCACCTCAGAAAGTGTGGCAGCAACCCAAATGGTGGTCCCCAAGCGGTGGACATGCAAATGAGATCCAGAGATCAGAAAGTTCAGTGTTGAGGTGTAGTCTGTTGCCGCAATAAGGTACATGGGAAGTAACAGCTGTGGATGAATCATCCATACATACTTTGCTCCCTCTTTTGTGTTACCTCCACCTAAATTGTGAAAGTGTCATGCTAGAACCACTGAGCCTATTTTACAATTCCAGAGAATAGAAGGGATAGGTTTTTTTCCTCCAAAGCAGTGCCACTCTTCTCTGTTTCATCAGGGCCCTCAGCATGAGTCCACTATGGTAGTCAGGATGGTGATGAAGGCCTAGTATCAATCTATTCCCACCTTCATTACCACCACCATGAGCACCCATCTTGGACCAACAACCTCCAGAAACTTGGTACTTGTTTTTTCCCTGGGTTCCAATTAAATCAGACTTTGTTCAGGCTTTCTTGGGAATTGTGTAGAAAGAATGACAGGGACCCAGGTGTTGTGTGGAGGGCAGAGGAAATGTTACCACCAAAAGAACTCTCTAGAAAGAAAGCGTTTACACGTGCATACTATATCCTTCCCTTTTCCCTAGAGAGAGGAAGCCTGAGAGGAAATGTAAAAGAAGAAATAATATAGACCTTTTACTTCCTTGGAGAGACAGAGCAAGAACGAAAGGAAGAAGACAGAAAGTGAAAACTTATAGACTTCATTTTACCCAAAGAAATCATAGCCAAAGTGTAGCAACTGGAGTTTAAGGAAATGAGTGCTTTTGCAAACTTGGGGTTAGGGCTTCACATTTATATGTTGAAAACTTCAGGAAAAAGGGAAACAAAGAGAAGACAAGAATAGCAGTTAAATAAAAGCCAAACAAAGTGAGAGCCACTGTAGACTGTGATCACCTTTGTCCACCAGAGACACTCCTTAAACTTCATTAAGTAGGCTATCCCCTTGTCATGTGAAGTGGCAAGGGCAAGGCCAAGGCCAAGGGCAGTGTAACCAGCTAAAAAAGAATACACCAAAACAGACATAGAGAAAAGTTATTGAGCCATTAAGATGGAGTGATGGCTCCAGGTACATAAGCCAAGCCTGATAGTTCAAGTTCAATCCCCTATACCCACAGAGTGGAGAAAAGTGACTCCTGCAAATTGTCCCTTGTCATTCAGCTATGCACTGTGACATGCATGCATACTCACACATGAATGGAGAGACAGAGACAAAGAAACAGATACATAGGCGCAGAGGTGAACAGTAAGAAATAATTGAAGTACACTGTCAGAAGACAGTAGGCGAGTTCCTAAAGGGCCTGTCATGAGAGGGCTTAGAAGTCTTTTGTAGTTGTTGAATAGGAAGTTACTTACTTATTATTTTGTGTGCGATTTTGGTAGGGTCAGTATTTGAATAGACAGTTTGGCATATTACTTTCTTCTTGAGTAGTAAAGTTTATAGGCCAATTTGTTTTGCTTGAGTCTGGCCATTTGTACAAAAGCCATAGCTCATTAGAATTCAGGCTGTAGAGGAATGCATAATATATCCTTAGTGACCATGGTCTGGGCTCCATATTGTCAGGCTTATTTGTTAAAGTATGAGAATTTTGTTTATAATTTTTATCTTTTATCTTTATACAAATACATGAGCATGTAAGGGAACCCAGTAAAAAGTACCTAGAAAGGTTCTAGTTACGGGGGAAAAGCAAGGAGCAACATAGCAAGAGATGAGCCTTAAGACACAGAAAGGAGCCAGAGCATCCAGGAGTGTTGATACAGAATGATCGGAACTAGCATGAGTAGAGATGAGGTATCTAATGCTTGTAAAGGGTCAAGGCTCAGAAATCAACCAAGAAAACTAAATAGAAAACAGGCTTTGGACATTTTACTCCATAACCTTAGATTGAAAATGTTACATTGAGGTCCAATGTATGACCTAAGGAGAAGGCACTTGGAATGGCATGGAGAATGTTGACTTTGAAGATGAACAGGTTAAGTACATGACAACTGGGTATTTGGTGGGTCTTGGGTGTTGACATCAGCCAGGGATACAGAGACCCCTGAGATCATGATGAAAACCATAACTCTATTCCAGAGGCTTTGATGTATGTGAAAGAGTGACCAAGAGGTCAGGGATAATTGAGAACTTACTGTGGTTGCCATGGTTCTATAAGAACTTGTCTAATTTCATCTGTGGGGAATTATATCTTCTAAAGATAAACATTAATGCAGATGGCCATTGCAATTGAATGTGATTTATTAGATAGTCATCCCCCTATAATTTTTTCTTTTGAGTAATTACTAAATATACACTGAAGTTGGAGAATAATTCCCTGAGAAGAGAATAAGCAGAGAAAAATATGACAAGTCTATAAAGAGCACCTGTGGCTACTAGAAATGTAATGCAGACAGAGGTGCTTCTGATACTGTTGAGATGTGGCATCAACAAAGACTGCATCACTGTTTCCAAAGATAGTAAATGAAAAACACTGAGCTCAGGGAATTAGGTAGGTTGGAGAAGCCATGGAAGAATAAAATAATACAACTAAGTATCAAGTGTAGGTGTTCATCTGAGGACTGGCCAAACAACCAGGTTGACATTTAGAGATTGTAGTTTCCAGTTTTATATTTTTGTGGGATTTCTGTGTTTGCCAAAGTGTGTCTCTGTGTCTATATGTATGTCTTGTGCTTTTTCTTTGGTTCTTTGTTTTTATGTTCATTTGTTTTTCCTATATATGTTTTTATATTGTTTTATTAATTTTTTTAGATGCCTGTTTTTTTTTTCTAATGAAAGAGAGAGTAAGAAAGGATGTGGACTTGGGTGGATGAGGTGGATCTTGGAGAAGTTAGGGGAATATAATCAGAATATACTATATTTTCAATTAAAAAACTAAGACAAATAGTAAACCTTGATCTAAATACTACTGAGAAGAATAAAGTGCATTTTAAACTATTAAGTATATGTGAATACTTTTGATATCTTTATTAAATCCATTTTTTGGAACTAGTGCATTCATACCATGCCATTGTTTAGTACCACCATATTTATCTTACTTGCTTGTTAAATAGAATACTATGTAATGAGATCAATACATTCATAAACCTTGGTTGACTTCTGTGTCCCTTTAATGTTTTATTTATTTACTTTCTTATGCTCTTCATTTAGGTTTTCCGAATGAGCCTGCTGCAGTCATTGCCCTAGATACAATTAAGGAATGGCTGGCCAAGAATCACCAGGAGGTAAGATAACTGACATAATGAACATTCCAGACAATGTGATTTGATCCTCTGTTAAAACACCAACAGATAAACTGCATCAGTATCAACCAGACCAGGTGCTTATGCCAATGCCATGCGACTTTTCTTCATTTTGGATTGCATACAATTAAATAATTTCCTGTAATCTTTTGGCTGACCAGTTTGGTAGGGAAAATGACCTAGAAGAGCAGACTCACTGTTCCTTACTGTGTTTTTTGGGTAGTGTGGGTTGTGTGTGAGCAGGAGTTTGGAATGAATTTGCTGATGATTCTTTATTCTTCCTGTGCTGTTTTCCTTAGAAAACCTGCTTTGTCTTTGTTGTCAGGGGACTGTGTATAAAGCAATGTTTGTTAATAGGCTCCATCTTTATTTATAACTAGGACTTTTCCTGATGTGACTTCTAGGTATGGGACTGCAATAGGATTACATAATTGTTAAGTAGACTGTTCCAGCTAGGATTTTTTTTTCTTTATTTTTTAAGTGAGATGAAATGCTTTAATCTCATCTCCATTTCTACTCATTTAGAAGAGTCTATGAAATATGCTGAGACATATTGAGTGATAAGCAAGAGATTACTCATTTAAATAAAACAGCAATGCTGCTAAAACTGGAAGCTATAAACTCTAGGGGTTTGTCCATTCACTCATCAAAGCATCAAAGAGGCTTTAGGCAAGGCGTTGTGTGCTCTCCTCTGTTGTTCTGAATTTTCTCTTTAGATAGTAATTAAATTATTAATTTTTTGCTTTCATTCATGATTGTGAATTTAACTTTCTCTTTGGGAAGGAGACAGAATATTTGGCTAAGTATGGAAAATGGGCTGTGAAAGTTTCCTATTGAGAATCAGCTTTGTTTTTCTGTGTATGTAAAGTAACAGCAGTGTTACTTCCTAATTACTACAATTACAGTATTCCTTAACCAGATATAAATATCCCTAACCTCTAGTAGAAGTAAGAAATTATATGGCCAAATATGTACATTTTATTGTCTATTCTTCTCTCCCTCATAAATTTGAAACACGTGTATACTATGATGTCAGTTTAGATGATACTTGCCTCAAAAAGGAAAAGAAAACAAGAGACTAAAATATCCAACTTCTAATCACTTACCTCTGCACCAGTCTTTTAGAGCATTTAGGGTAGATAATGCCACCATCACCCAGTTTTAACAACAAACTTAGATACGATGCTTGAGTATGGAAAATACCAGGATTGGCCTCTCGTCTCACACCATTCCTCACTTTAATGTCACAGAAACTCAAGAAAGAAGTTGAATTCCTTTGAAGGCACTTATTGTCCACATATGTCTTTGTCATAAGAAATGTTCCTTAGAACTATATGTTTTTTCTTTCTTTGAAAAAAAAAGCATAACATGCCCTGTGATTGAAAACTGATAACTCTGGACATATGCTTGTAAATTACCTTCCTTTCTTTAGAGTGATAAGTCTAGAATATACAGACTTAAAGAAGTTCATTTGTGTCATCTTTACCCATAATTCAAATGTCAATAAATACCTGCCACTGAGGAATTGTAGATGAAGAGTAAAACATGCAACTGATATGTACATGGACAAATTATAGTTACATATTAATCCCCGTTAAGCTGTTTAAGTATTTAATTTCTGTAAAAAAATATTGCTATTGAATTATATTGCCTACTTTGTCTTTGAGCCTACTGTGGTCACTTTTGTGGCTTGCCAGCCTTCAAATAATGACACGGAGACTTATTAATTATGAAAGCTTGGCCTCAACTTACTCTTTTTTCCCAATTAGCTCTTATAACTTAACCTGTTATATAACTTATAAGTTATTATAACTTAATTCTGCCCTATGACTTTTATCTCTCCTCTGTTCTGTATGTCTGACTTATTTCATGTCTCACTGGCATCTTTCCAAGTCCCATCTAGTCTCTCCTGCCTTGCTATTGGCCATTCACCATTCTATTAAACCAATCAGAAGGCTCCTTTGGCAGGGACACATTTCTACAGTATATGAAAAGATTATTCCACACAACCTACCTTTTGATTTTTTTTTTTAATCATCTCCTTGCATACATTGTAGAAAATTTAGGACATTTTGATTTGGTAACACATTAGTCATGACAATATTAGGTGTATCTTATGCTGATTGCCTTTTAAGAATTCCTTGTTTTTAACTTGTACTAAAGAGTGTCAGCTAGTTAATTTGGATACATAACATTTTACTGAATAAATAAATTATAAGCAGACCTCTGCATGTATGTGACAGTTGTGTAGTTTGGTCTTCTTTTGGGACTCCTAACAGTGGCATCAAGGGCTGTTTCTGTTCTCTTTTGCTGGCTTTGGAACACTATTTCTCATACAGGGTTGTCTTGCTCAGCCTTAATACAAGAGGAAGTGCTTAATGGAACTTGGTATGCCATGTGTTGTTGATATCCATGGGAGTCCTGCCCTTCTCTGAATTGAAAGGAGAAGTGGATGGGGGTGAGCCCTTAGAGAGAAGGTAGTGGAAAGGAACTGGGAGGAGAGGAGGAAGGGAAAACTGCAGTAAGGATGTAAAATAAATAAGTAAATATTAAAAAACAAATTGTAAGTGGTGATAGATAAAAGCTATTCAAACAGATTATTTAATAGTATTTTGATGTAGGGTTTGTTCTACTTAACCAAACAAACTAGGTGAAAGATCACTGAACAGATATTGCTTCCAATTCACTTGTCTTTTTGTTGCAGTGTCGTTTTGACATCTTGATTGTTTCAGTTATTCATTAATCCATTCATTCCATAAATATTTACTGAAATCCTCTAAGCAATGGGAACATTTCTACCAGGGAAGAAGCACTAAAACATAAACAAATTATCCATAACTTTTGTCATTCAGAGTCTGCAAAGAGAAACAGATTAAATAAAGAAAGAAACAAGACATTATAGATGGCTCCAAGCCCCATGTGGTTGCTGAGAATTGAACTCAGGAACTCTGGAAGAGCAGCCAGTGCTCTTAACCACTGAGCCATCTCTCCAGCCCCCAATATTCCTCATGGAGGGATACTCCCTTAACCTAGAGGCACGAGGGAAGGCCTAGTCCCTACTCCAAATGACTTGACAGATGTGGAAGGCATCACCCTACATGTGCAGTGGGGGGGGGGGGTGTATGGGAGAGGAGGGTTGTCAGGGGCCATGGGAGGATGGGAGAGAGGGAGTGAGGGAGGAAGGAAAGGAGGGAGGGAGGGGGAGGGAGGGAGGAACAGGGAACTGGGATCAATATGTAAAATAAAAAAATATAGCAAGACTATGATAATAAATCATAAACTATGTTTTCTTCTAGTAACCTAACCATTAAAAAAAAATAAGGCAGCCCAAAGAATTCTTTACAAAACCAAGCATCATAACTACATAATAGACTATGAGGAGATGTGGTTTTTAGAAGCCACTGAGACCGTTTTTTGGCAGGAAGATTTTTATAATGAGAGTGCATACGCTAAGCTACACAGAGCTGAGGGAACAAGAAGGCAAAAGCAAAGTGGAGCAGGCAAGAACTGCTCAGGCACTGCAAAGGGAATGTGATTGTTGATGGGAGAATACCAAGACACAAATTTGAATAGAAGGGACTGTGGTTACCTGACAGACTATGAACCATACTCTAAGTTTAGTGTAGAGTTCCTGAAGAGTTTAGAATAAGGTAGTAACATGATCTATAAGACCCTTAAGCAATAGATGATGATGTTCTTTTGGAAACTGTCCTTTAGAAATATCAGAGAAGGATGGGGAGGGGGTTGTCAGCTGCAAGACTCTTGCAGCAAATCCTGGTAAAACATGAAGATTTGGGGATGGTAATGGTAGTACAAACAGATGTAGCAAAGATGGGGTTTAAGATACACTTTAAAGTACATGTTTTGTAGGTTGTTTAGTGAGTTGACTAGCTTATTTCACAGTTACAAATCATCTCCAAGTATCAGGGTTATAAAACAAGAATAGTTTGTTTGTTTTTCATATTATTTGTATGTCTTGAGTCATCGTAGGACACTGAATTCATCAGGAAACCAGGCTGACAGTAATGTCACCCCATCATAGGAATATATAAACAAAGGAGTTCTGCATTTAAATGTCCTCATTTTTTTTCCAGTGGAAGATACCTAATAACTACATTCCAAAGAATAAGAAAATAAAGCTCTTAAAAAATAGGAAAATCTGAATACCAGCAAAAAATGATGATGTCTATTATAAAAGTGAATATAGTATGGTGTCCAATATAGAATTGAAAAAATGCAGAAGAATCAAGAATGAGAACTAAATATTAGGCCTATGCTCTAAGTAAACTTTTTATACAGTCACTGAGATGAAGAAAAAATATTACGAGGCATACTTACATGAAAATATAAAGAATATAAGAATAATATTACACATAAATAAGTACAAGCTTATTTTAGATATTCAGCCAGTTCATCAATGTAAAAGCTATTTATTCATGCCTGTTGCTCAACATAAAACCAAGAGAGATAAGGAGAAAGAGCAGTGTAGTGTCAGTTGAGATGACTTGAAAGGAACACTCACACCACCTTAGGTAGAGGAGAATTGGTATAGAAATGAACTGTGCTATATGAAAAAGAAGTCTTAGCAACTTAATACCAGGTCTGGAGCATGTTTGGTTCATGACCTGACTCTGAAACTACACACACAAATAAGAAGCATGGCAACTCTTTTTGTCACCTCACTCATATACTTCCCTAGTTACTCTTACTTCATGATCACATTACCATTATTACTGGCACTCACATAAGGTGCCACATGGCCCAGTTGTGATCCTATCTGTCCACTCGCAGGTAGATCAACTCTGGATGAAAGAAGGCCAGCCTTGAGCTTGGTAGGAAAGGCATGCACTGGGACTCTTGGTGAAGCAAATCCCTGACATTTTATTTAGAAGGGGATATATAGATAATATGATGTGGTCCTGCCATCAGAGGCCACTCTTCACTTCTCCAGATGACCATATAATACAGTGTCAGCTTCTCTT